TTTGAACTGCCTTCGTTTCGTTTGTTGTTGGCCATGTCGTAGTCTAAATTAACCGTTTCGTTACGTCAGCTCCGACTGCTGTCTTTGTGCGTTGACAGTGGCTGATGCTGCTGAATGCTGCTGGATGCTGCTGTTGTTGCCCCAATTGTTGTTGCCGCTGCTCTTGTTTAGTTGCAAGTTTGTATGAGGCAGTCGTGCGTGCCCGGGCGCCTGGCAATTGGAGCAATCAGCCAGCTCCTGCACAGCCCCCTGCCATTCCATTCCCCCACCCAGCGTCAGACAGCGTCAATCCCCCAGCACCAGCACCAGCACTCAGCCGCACTCCATTCGGCTGAGTTCAGTTCAGGCTCGAGTCGACAGTTGGCTTTGTCTTGTCAGCTGGTCCCGGGCACCACCACCCTGATTGGCATTTACAATTAGCGAGCGAGTAAACAGAGCTCTCGGAGAGAGCATCGTGTAGCCCGGTCTAAGGACTCGAATGTTCATCTAACAAGATTGGAAATTCAGTTTTCGGGTTTCTCAAAGTTGAAAGCTTCATTCGAGCATGCACGCTTAGGTCATAGTTTCTTTGAAAGTTACACTTCGAATACTGGATTTATTTGTATCAGAACTTGCTTATGGTTAATCCCCACGAAATTATATACTGCCAGCAGAAAAGAAAGGAGGGTCTGAAAGCTAATAAGCTAATAATGTTGCAGCAAACGTTGTTGTTTGCCAAATTAGCATAATGCCAATGAGCTTTGCGCCTGAAAGTATGCAGAGGTTTTTCCATGGCTGCACCAACATGCACTTTATGTGTGTGTGTGTGTGTGCATTTGTGGCACTGGAATAATGTACTCTTAATTTGTTATGCGTGTGATTAATGATCCGGGCACAGCGATAACTTTGACTCATTACACCTGCTGATTTATTGCTGTCAACGGGCGGTCCGAGCACACACAGGCACCAACCAGCACACTCAATCACATTTACTTTCCCCCACACACATGCATATTCCATGGAAATGAATTTTGAATTTTGCCACTTTCGCTTAATCATTGCGCAATTAGCCTGGCATTGTCAGGGGCTTTGCATTGATTTATTTCGACTGGTTTGCTGGCCCTAAGATTTCAGCACTGCGTCCGCTTTTCCCCGCATTTCCAATTCCATTTCAGCTGACGTACATATATTTCTGCCAATTTTCACTATTGAAACCTGACATCAAAGTATTCCAAGCTGTTGCTGAACATTTTTCAATTAATTATGCTTTATTGCTTCGTGGTGCTTGCTGTGTTTCCCTCTTCCTCCTCCTCCTCCTCCTCCTCCTCCTCCTCGGTCTCTGTCGCTGTCGCTGTCTTTTGCATTTCCACTGTTTGCTGTTTTCCATTTTAATTTTTGCCCGATTGTTTGTTGCTGTTGTTGCTTTTTTCGGTCTTTCGCAAGTGTGAAGATTAAGAGGCATCGATGGAAATGCAAGTAATTAATGGCTGGCAGAGTGGCCGTCCCGCCTGCGCTAATGACCCATATTATGAGGTTATTACGAGGAGTACCCTCACAGCCTCCCCGACAGTGTTTGAGTGTGAGTTTTTGTGAGTGAGAAAGAGCGAGTGTGAGTGCGATTGCAACTGCATTTCTGATGACATTTCGTATGTGTTAAGTAATTGCTGTAAGGGCTGGAGTCGATGCGGAGTCGGTCACACGGGAGTGAGGCGTGACACGGCATAAGATTCGACTGGGGCTCCGCTGTAACTGCAGTTAATTGAAGTCTATTTGGATTGATGGATGGTCTGGCAATGGGAATGCCTTGCTTGCCTCCGAAAGTGCATTTTAATTAGGGTCTGCAGCAGATCAGACGCAAGGCATTTGCTTGCAACAAGTTGAAATAGGATTGATGGGGTTTGCTTGGGGGTTTGTGATCTTTTCTCTCACTCTGTTTGCCTTACATTTACTTTCAATAATCCTCCAATAACCGCCCCGCAGATGGACCCACAACCTTACCATATAGTGGTGTTCCTGCTGCTGTATACATTGATGTTGGCCTCCTTTCTGCGGCCACAGATGAACATCGTTATAGCCGTTGACTCGCAATTCTTTAGTGCCAATTATGCTGCCGTGGTGGGTCTCACCTTTAGGCTCAATCTGTTCATGGTGGTGGCAGCTTTGCCAATCAGCATCTTGACTGTCATTGCCCTGGCGAAGTGGAACGAGGCAACAAATCATCCGACGGCCTCGCGCTCCTTTGTGTCGTTCGTGGTGGGCCTGTACGTGGCCCTGCTGCTCGCCAACTTCGCCGCCAATGGCGTGGTAATGCAGAACATCCTCGGCAGGTTCCAGCACCCCCCACTAGCGTCCTGGCTCATGTACAGAGATCTGCTCCTCTCCTTTTTGGAATATCTTGTGGCTAATATCCAGAGCGTCTTCACCCGCCAATCGGTACAGAGGCCCGAGCTAGTGTACGTTCTACATTAGTTGCATTTGTTTACTTATGTATTACCCGCCTAAATTTGTATTTATTGATGTATGGAACGCTATGAAGTGTTTTTTCGGGGCAGAAATGTCTGTATGTCTGTGTCTGCCCTTCTGGGCAGAGTACCCCATATAAGTTGAAACTTACTGGACTCTGGTCTACGATGTGTGGCCGAGGCAGAGCACACACAATGGGGGGAGGCAGCCGAGGTGCGGGGCTTGTTGCGGTCGAGTTGCATATTAGATTTAATGCGATTTGCATTTGCTTGGCTTGGGGCCTGCCTGCCTACATCGATAATGAGGCGACACTTCCCTTGGTTGGGGTTGGCTGCAGCATCCATGCAGCACCCATAGAGGCATGCAACATTTGTCTAGGCAACCGCAGGGCAACGTGGCCGGGGGCCAGCAGCACGTCTGGCGGGTAAGTAATTTTGCGGTTGTATTTTGGGGCACGTTGCTTTGAGGCTTTCGACTCCATCATCCTCCACATTGCCGCTGCTGCGGCCTGGGCCTCGGCAAATAGTTGAGCTGCTCAAACAGTCCAGGGGGGGCAGGGGGGGACAGGGGCGCGGGGGGACTGCGAATCTGTATCTGGCCCACGAAATAATTGAAATATTATGCCAGGCTTAAGCCAAAGTAAACAATTTTTGATGCTCCTGCCCCTTCCCCCCTACAGATATCTCTTCTGGATTGTATTCCGACGTAAATTCCCAGCAAATACAAAAAAATTTATTTTCTCTGGCTGCTCACAAAACATGTCTTTGATCTCGAAAAACATGTGCCCAAAAAACAGCAAAAATTAAAAACGGGCCAATTTACACACAAAAGGGAAAACGCAAAAAAAATAAAATACAAAAATAAAGCAGCACAAAAATGTACAAAAAAAAAAAATTAAGCAATAAAAGTTGTGTTGTAAATATCCATATGCAAAATACAAATCACAAACAAATTAAACGAAACGAAACGAAATGTTCGAGTAAGTGCTTAAAACAATGCCAAATGAGTTCTGGCCCTGCTCTGGCCGGGGAGTACAGTACATGTTTGGGAAATATTTCCCCAAAAAAAATGCCAGAGAAATTCCAGAGGTATCTGGCGATGACAACGGGTTTTCCCCGGGACACTAAAACTTATTTATGCCTTTGCCGCATTTTTGCCGATGGGGTGGCTGTGGGTGGCTCTCATCGGCATTCCATGATCATTTATAACTGAACAGCGGGAAATAAACCTCCAGATTAAGAGCTGTAAATAAGGTCTGGCAGCGACAGTCCAAGGTAAGCCTCATGAATGTCTCTTCTGGCACTCATCTTTCTCGCAGAGACCTGATTTATTAGCCTTGACTTCTTGACTTCAAATGAGCAAAGATTCGGAAAAAAAAATGGTTAGAAGGAGTATTTGAGAAAATCTAAAAGAAGGTGGAATTTTTGGTTGATTTATTAGAGTTTTTAGCGCTTAAAATGTTCCGAAATACCAGGCGGGTAGGGCTTTTAGATGGACAACACATGATTCACAAAATACAGCTGTAGAACTTTTGCAACTGTAGTCATACTATAATATCTGAGATGGGTATCTGTTAGGAGAGAGTGGAGTCTCCAGCTACTGAGCGCTGGCTTAGATTTCCCCAAGTCGTATCTCAAGTGATCGTTAAAAGCCCCCAATTAAAAGAGACCACTTTAATGTGTGTTCCAATTTTGGTTTCGGGCTTATCCCCGCTACCAGTTTGGATCTCATCTCTCACTGCGATCAGTCGGGGTGAGGCCTGGAATTTCCCTGAAGGGGGAAGTGTTATTGAACCTGCCCGCAGGATTATCAGTGCCGTGGCTCGAGTGACAATAAAATGACAGATATTGAAATGTCAGATCATTGGAAGCCAATAAAGCTGCATGATTGATGTGCCAATTTGTAATATGCCGATTATCATGTCCCTGCCCAAATCGGCTGCTTAATTACACACGGCATACGCAGGCATACCCTGCCTGGGCCTGGGCAAAAGTTCACTGGTACAATGGCAGGGCAATTAATATTTTTATTAGCGTTTAATTTGGATTAATTGCTCCATGAATCATCCAATCAAATGTGTGTCAAAACAAGGGCTCCAGTCCCATAGTCCAGTCGCTGAAATGGAATCCAGAAGCGCAGAACGTGTGTCTCCGTCCGTTCAGGAATTTGCATTTCTTCTGTTGACGCAATCACAGGACTGCCCCGTCTCCTTCCATTCCATCCCCATTCTGGCTGGAGATGTTCCTGACCTGTGCTGCTGCTCCACGTCTTGTGGAGAGATGGGGATGTGGATGTGGATGTGGATGTGCCTGACCTGGACTGACGTCGCCGCGTGTGTCACTCACTCCAAGTGACAGTCTCTCCCGCAGTCAGGGGCAGCGGATTCGCTTGACGCTCTGCTGGAAATCAAAATTCTCGAAACCGGATTCGGGGAGATATGGGTATCGCATCCCAAGCAAAACAAAACAAAACAAAACAAATCAAACGAAATGAAATGAAATTCTTTCGCCTGAAATTTGCTTTAAATACAAAATCGCCGAGCTCAGAACATTAGACAGGTTTAAGAGCTCGAATTAAGCACAGCCCCAAGGAACATTGACTGGACATAAAGCCAGTAGCAATACGAACAGAAGTGCAAAGCCAATTAAGGGAATTCAAATTATATAAGTTCTACAACAACTGAAGTCTCAATTAAGTCTCAACAATGACCATCACAAATCCCACGCAAAAGGTAGGCATACACAGACACAGCCATCTCCCAGCCAGACGGACCCTGACAGATCTATTCCCTCAGATAATGCTCACCTGCTGCTGCCTGGGCCTGCTCCTGACCCTCACCGAGGCACTGCCCCGCTACAGTCGGCGCGGAGACCTCCGACCCGCGGCGAGTGACTCCAGCTTCGCCTATGCCCCCAGGCCCCAGGAGCCGATGACACTGACAGGAAACTACAACCTCATCATGCCGGACTACTACGATCACAATCCGGCCGCCTCCATGCAGCTGCAGAACTTTGCCAACTTCTACGACGCCCAGGTGAGCCCGGGCTCCGATTTGGGCATGGAAGAGTCCCAGTTCCTGGCCAGCACGCCCGTCAGGGCGCCACAGCCTCTGTCGGCGGACGAGATACGCATCCGCCAGCAGGTGCCATCGGTGGACATTGGACGCGAGAAGAAGTCGCTGCTCAAGCTGAAGAAGGGCAGCACCCAGCCCCGAGGATCCGACTACCAGGATTGGGACCAGTTCGACTACGATCTCTACAGCGTCAATCCTGGCGACAGCAAGAAGTACAAACACGACGCCTAGGTCGATGATCGCTCTGAATCGGAGTTGGAATCGGGATCGACTTTTTATGAATTTGTTGCTGTGTTTTTGTTTTCTGTTTGTTAAGCGCCAAAATAAATTATTTATTTATTGTAAACTGCATTTGGTTTTTGCCAATTTTGGCGGCGTCTCGATGGAAGAATGCGGCTCGAGCAAGTTTTTTGATACCTCCTTAAAGCGGGTAGCATGACACATGGAGCACAGAAGATAGTTCCATATGAGAACTTACTTCGGATATCCAAAGTTGATTCTATCAATATGGGTATCCTATCCGAATCTATCTATCCGAATAGGATAGGGCAGGGTATTCTACGGTTCGGTGGTTCGCTAGCCTTTGTTTTTCGCAACCATCTAATGGTCCGGCACAATTTGTCTAATTGCCCCTGCCATTAGCAAGCATTCGCTTAATGACCAAACCCGGCCCGTGGAACAGCAAATCAAACACGAGGAATTTCCAGGAGCATTTCATTTTATTGCTGGTCGAGCAGAATCCGCCTCAGCTCCTCGACCCGTTCCGGCGAGGGCTCAAAGAACTCGCTGTCCACCTGGACTTCCTTGTGCCTCGACAGGCGACGCGGCGGGGGACGAGCCGCATGATACCTGGCCCGAGCAGCTGCCTGCGCCTCCGGATTCCCCTTGCCTTTGTTGCGGCAGTTGCGGCGTGCAAACGGCTGTCGCCGCTGGGCAGGCACTACTCCACCCGCGCGCACCTTGAGACGTTGCTCCCTGGGACGAGGCTCCTCTGTCAGCTGCTGGAGCTCTTCATCTGGTGCCTCGTACGGGTAGCCAGCTTCTGGGTTGATAGCCGAGTGGGCTAACATCACACCTAGCACTACCATCTATGGGCCAGAGACAGAGTGGTTAAGCATTTGACGTCATTGTCAAGGGGAAAACGAGTTCCGTGTTCTGAACGGAGATTACCAGTAGAGTTAGCAGCAAACTCGTCTTCATCGCTGTATCGCTGTGAATGTCTCGCTTCGGGGTCCACGGACTGACTAACTCTTATGGCCTGCCCTTAGAACCGATTATGAAATCTGTGGTATTATTATGCTACTGTCCAGAGAGAGAGAACGGCGAGAGAAACCGGTTTGTTTGCGTGCTCTCATCTGGATTTATCGATTTGATTAGCATAGATTGTGATTAGCATAGATTGTCTTTAAGAACTGAGAACTATAGAGAAATCATTGGGGAATCACTGCCTTTAGAGTCGGAAAATACTGCACACTGAAAAAAATAAGACAGACGTATGCTTAGGTTTTATTGGTGCTGCACTGCACTGATAATTCATCTGGAAGGTATGGAATAAGTTCTTAAAATCAGAGCTTAAAACAGAGTTCCGTAGACGCAGAGAGTTCCCCGCATCTTGCCATTGACAATCCATGTGCTGTAAAAGGCATAGTCGCCACTGGGAAGAGGTAACACGTCGCTGAGTTGTGTGTTCACGAACTGAGTCGGAAGCTGCTCCACCCAAACGTCGTGCTGCAAGGATATCATATACTACATATAGCATTAGGTATCTTGTGGAACTCACATCGTAGGGACACTTGTGATAGGCATTCGAGTAGTTCTTTAGCACTCCATCAAAAAAGTTCACCATGGGATTGCGGCTTTTTTTCTTATTCATGTACTTGCACACATCCAAGGTGACGTTCATAGTGATTGGTATGTAGCCCTTGAAGCGCCTCAAAATTTGCAGATCTGCCTACGAACGGAGACACCATTAGCCTTGGACAATGCGGATAAAGTACAGTACTTACCAATACCTCCCTAATGGGTAACTCATGCAGGGTAGTCCTCACGGACATGTACTTGAAGGTCCGATTCACGGCCTTGATGTGACAGTAATCGAAGTCGAAGAACTTTTTGTCAATCGAATTGCACTTGATGTTGGTGAACTCGAACAGGGAATTTATCTGGCGATGCACAAAACACTGAAGTAACAGCCAAAGGATTCGATATTATGGAAGTTACCTCCGTCACACAAGTTGCAAGAATAAAAGGCACCATCCAAACAATATAGTGAACGCGCATTTTGATACCGTAATGAACCAACCCCAACTGATATCGTTCTCTAAGTATTACAAACTATAACTAAATATCAATTGCTTTGAGATTTAATGTACCATTAATATTGTTGTTCGCTGGTCTAGAACTTTTTTTAATGACGGTCTGATCAGACGAAAATCATTAACTCATACCTCATTTAGCAGATTTAAATAATTGATTCTATTTTTAGGTATAATAGAAAGTAGGTTGCAAAAATGGTTTCAGAAATGTTTTGATAGGTTTTATTGAAATAAAAACGAATGCAAGCCAGACTTTGCAATGTTTGACAGCATTTGTAAACATTTTGAAGATCATAAATCTACTCTTTAGGTTTTCGCATGCTCTCCCCCATTTTTTCGCGCAGTGCATTGAGTCCACTGTTAATTTTTGTATGGGTGATTAGCATACGACAGGCAGAGACCCATTGGCAATCGCATATTAAAAAGCCACGGGGGCAGAGATGAGGCAACAGCCAACCGGTTGATCAATAACATGATGTCGCCTCAATCAGCTGGAGCTGGGGAGCCCCCGGAGCATTGTCTACCTTTGGGCTGTTGAAACAAATCGCGGAATCGGTTAGGAATGGGACTCGCTCACTTTATTTACATTGAAAAATGTGTTCAACTAACAATAACAATTATTAAATCTAGATTTGAATTTGGGCTGGGGTTCAGTTGAAGGGATGCCTTTCGATCAGCTCCTCCTTCCGCTCATAGGTGCGCCTGTTCCTAGGCCTCAGCTGGCCCTGGCCGTTCTGCACGGTTCCTGGGGGCACATAGATCGCGGGACTCTTGGTGCATCCCTCGATATGGGCATGGGCCACGGCGCGTATGTCCTGCAGCAGCTGCTTGTGTCCCGGATCCACTTGTCCTGGACTCAAGATCTGTTGCTGGCACTGTCCATTGGGCTGGCAGTTGGTCACGTAACGCTGGTACTCCCTGGTGTCCCCGGGCGCCGTCTGCTTGTAGTCGTAGCCATCCAGCGACGCGCTCTCCGACTGGGCTACCTGGTCGCCCTTTCGCGGTGCCGGCTCTGTGAGACCCGTGCTGGTCAGCAGTTTGTTCAGCACCGCAGTAGGCGGCACACCGGAGCCGTGGCCCGCATCCAGCACCTGCTGCCCCGAGGGAAGGGTGACCGTTGCGTAGGGATGGGGGTTGGCGAAGTACAGTCTCTGTGGCGCCAGGTTCTGCGGTTGTGGCAAGTACTGGGCCGCGGGCTGAGGTACTCCCTGGTACTGGGCGATGGCTTGGGTTGGAGGCTGAGGTTGAGCTTGAGGCTGGTAATAGTTGAGTGGTGCTGGTGGCGCCGGTGGAGCCAGTGCCTGAGTGCTGAGAGGAGCGGCTAGGGCTGAAGAAAATTGCTGATAGCTTCCGCTGCCCAGCAAAGGATTTCTGTAGGTCGAATAGTGCAGCTGCGGCTGCTGCACGGGCTGGGGTGCCAGATACTGCATATTCAGCTGGGGTGCCACATATTGCTGCTGCTGATGGGCCACATATTGCTGCTGCTGGAACTGTTGCTGCGGTGCCACATATTGCTGCTGCTGCTGCTGCTGCTGTGGGCCCTGGTATCCATAGCCGAGCTGGTTCTGCTGTCCCCTCTGCGCCCTCACGACCACAGTCTGGTGGTTCTCATAGACACTCGGAGCCAGGTGGGACTCCAGAGCGTAGGTGCGACTGTTGGGGCCCAGGGTTTGGACCACATATTTGGCAGGCTGCTGGTGACGCGCTGACACCTCGCTGAAGGGGACTTGCGGCCGCTGGTAGTGATATTCCTGCGATCGCACCGTGGCGGCCAGGGCCAGCTAAGGTGCAAAATATACTCGTATTAATTCGATACACTCCGATACTCTGCTCGGTATAAGTTACGCACCATCGACAGTAACAGCCACGGATGGGAAGTCATCTTCGAATGGCACTTTTTGGAGCACTTTACGTGTTGTTTGCGGGTCGCCGACTCGCAGCTAAATGAGCTGTGGCAGGGGCAGGCCCCAGCAAAAGGCAGTTGGACCCCGCCGGACGCGCGAAGAAGATCACTCGAAAACTTGTTTCTTCGACTGGCTTTGGGCTTTGTTTCGTTGCAACAGTTTGAACATTTCATAATAATTTCTTTTTCCCTTTCGGTAAACGCTTTGTCTCCGCATCTCTATTTGCTCATTAATATACCGCAGCAGCGGAGGGTATTTTGGGTTTCCACGAAAGTCTATGCGTGTCAAGACTTTCCACAGACCGCCTTGGGTTCACATAGATATTGTTATATATGCTATTGGATCAGTCTTGGTCAATGCTGTTTAATATGATCCAGCAGAAGGAAGGGTATCAGTGGATCGCTGGTCTGTCTCTGCTGTTTGTTTATATGTCTGCCAGTGCCTCTTGAGCGTTCATTTGACTATCACTCACGCAAAATTTGTGTCATTATTAAAGTGCCAGCCAACTCTTTCCTCGCTTTATGGGACCATGAAACCGTAGACTTGGCCTTTCCACTCTTACCTCTTCAGTGGAGTTGGAGCTGGAGCTGCGTTTAATTTAATTAAATTTGCTTTGCATGATTTTGTGGCTTTCTGCATAGCGAGTGGACGTAGACTGGGGAAAAAGTAAAAGTATATAGATGCTCATAGCTCATAGCTCATCTGTATGTACACGTGTTCGGCAAATGACTTGGCTAACGCTCATCAAATTCGCATGAATGTTTGGCGTTTCTTCGGATAGCTATGGATTTGGATTGAGGGTGCGGTTTTGATTGCCCGACGAGCCATATGCGATATAAATATTATTGTTAATGTGTGGAATGGGATGATATTACGTGAGTTTTGTATCGAACGAAATGCGAGTTTAATTGCCTTATCTTTTGATTTATTAAGCAGAGAGACGGGACCATATTTTGTCTTGTGTTGCAACTGCATTTGATGGGCCTAATCATGGCTGTATTATTGCCTATAATTTAACACATGATCGTCGCTAAGCACATGCAAATGTATGCATGAATAACCAATGAAGGGAAGTGATTGATTGACCCACCATAGGCCAGGACAGAGCAGAGCAGAGCAGAGCAGGGAAGCTGTAACGATGAATTAGCGGGGCTAACAAACGCACAATAGGTGTATCAGCTTTTGCTGTCGCTGTCATTGTTCTGGGCTGGCACTCGGTCTGCTACTATATCCGGACTGGGTAACGATTCCTTCTATGCACATCTGCTCCCTGCTCCCAGATCCCTGCCACGCGGGCAGACGTCAATCAAAGACGCGCCATGTTAAATGCACTTGACTGCCACTTGACACAGCAAATGTTGCTGGCGTAGTCGTTCCCGTTGATGTTGCCCCGGCGTCGCACAAAACATCTTGCCAGGCCAACTGCCAACACTTGACATTCACAATGAGGGGCAGCAGCAGCAGCAGGAGAAGGGACACGGCAAGGGACAGGAACAGAAGCTGAGCCGGGGCCAGGGCGCACGCATAAAACGCGGCCTGGCCTCCAATTGCGCTGTCAGAGATGGAGATGCGAATGCAGATGCAGCTGGAGATGCGGTGGCTTATCACAGCATGTCACACACACACACACACACACACACACTCACACACACATCAGCACACGACTGCAGAGAGCGAGAGAGAAGTGGCCAACGCTGCGTATACGCAATCTGGTGCATTGGAGTGGGCCGGAGGCGGAGTGTGGGTACGTCTGTGAGTTGTCTGTCTTTATGCTGGCCCTCTCGCCCTTCCCCCGTCCCCCGCCAGACCGTTTGCATTCATTGCTGTCTCAGGGCATGGCATTCAGGGTTATGAGCTGCATGCAACCTCCAATGCGATAGAGCACGTGCATCGTGCAACGCAGTTGCAAGTGCAGTTCAGTGTGTGTGCAGTTTGTGCCCTCGTGTTGTTTGTATGCCTTCAGTTTATTCCTTCCTTTCCACTTGTTTCAGCGCATCTAAAGCGTCATTTTAGACACCTTTTTGTGTGTGTAGGCCCGGGCTGGCCTTTCAACGCCTGTAGCTGCCTTTTTTGCATACTTTTTGGCTTTAGTTTGAGGGCTTCTGGTGAAAGGGATCCGCTTAATTAGGCACACCTGCCAGGGCAGTGGCAAATTAGTCTCACCCAGGTTGAATGACCTTTGTGCTGCCACCCCATTCCATCCCGTGCAGGTGGGGCACAGCTTAGCTTTAAGCCAAGTACTTGGCCCTGTCCCGGGCCTGTCCTGGCCAGGGCGTCAGCCAGCAAACAATGCAACAACAAATAAAACCTGCAGCAGAAACTGCCACAAAAAAACGAACAAAAATCAATTGCATAATGGCGCATGTGTTGCGCAGAACAGTGGCAGCAACAGCAACAGCGGCAGCGTAGGCAGCAGCATCGCAAATTTGCAACTCTTTTTCCATTTGCACGTTGCAAGACACAGCAAAAAAACAAAAAAATACAAATTCAACCACCACTTCAGCCGTCTTGCAGCAGCGATTTTAGCCATATTTTCTTTTTCTTTTTTAACTGTCGCAAAGAAATGGAGTGAGAGGGGGTACAGATGGAGGGGGCAAGAGTAAAGAGAAGGGTAGACATGTGTGTGTGTGTGTGTGTGTGTGTGGCAGCTTTTGTTTGCACCCGCATGGGGAAGCCATTTAAGTGCGGCTTCTTGAGAAAATTGCAGCCAGAGCGGATACAGAAAGAGCCAGTGAGACAGAGACATAGCGAGAGAGAGATGGAGATAGATATAGAGAGGCAGACAGAGATGTGGAGCGTCACTAACGAGCAACGAACGTCCTCTGTCTCAGTGCCGTGTCCGCCTCAAACCTGCCCATAATTAACAGCAGCAGCAGGAGGAGCAGCAGGACGAGCAGGAGTCATAGGAACAGACGAGTGCTTAGCTCCCCTGTGGGGCCTATCATTTGTTGCAACGAACAGCAAAAAGCAGTGCCCCCCAAACGAAGGGGCGGCATGCAGCGGCAGCAGCGAAACCTGGTCGGTGCAAAAGCCGTTGGCTTGTTGGACGACTCAAGCGCCTTAATAGGCTTAGCAGCGAGTCAACTATCACAACAGGACCGATAAAAGTTAGAAGCCTCCGCACTCTGCACGGTTCGTCAGTCCAGCATTATGCCGGGATACTTTTATATATGTATCTGCCACACGTGGGGGCACATGGAAAACTTTACTTTACCTATATGATATGATATGATATGATATGCTCTCTCATGCCCCAGATGCCGCAGTCGAAGCCCAAGCTGAGGCTTTGTCAACGCATGCCACATGGAATATTTATGGGGGATAGGGACAGGGGCTGGCTGGGGATGTGCCACTGTTTATGGCACGTTTATGCCGGAGCCAGCTCTCATTATGTGCATGCCACCGCAAGTACGTGCCCCGGCCAGCCCATAACCAGACCATACATACTCTCTCCTACACAGCCCCTAATTCAGACTCCAGTTCCAGTTCCAGTCTCAGACTTACTTCCTCCTCCCTCCAGAGTGCGAAGGGGCGGTGCTGCCTTTGTTGTGTAATTTTCTTTTGATTAAAGTTTTTCTATTCTTTACTAACTTCTGTGTTTTTCGTTTTGGGCCTATTCACAGTGATGCATGCCTATGATCGTCATAGAAAAACACACAAGGTAGTGACCTGTCCACGCCAGCAAATTACTTTGCTTCCCATAGATATTCGTTATTAACACCCAACGATCTGGCAATTTGTTGATTGAGCCTCCTGGGCTTGGACCGACACCAAATCCCCCACCAAGGTCGGGTCTGTCTGTAACCCTTCATTCAGCTGCATCAGCAAATAGTCTCTGTCTCTCTGCCGGAATGGGAGTCCACTAGAAAGTTCCTCCTGCTGCTGCACGGCAAAATGTTGCTGATGACAGCAACAATATCATCAGTGGCAGCAACAGCAGCCAGCATCAGAGGCGGCTCCTGCTCCACTCATTTTGTTTTGCAGTCATTCGCATGTGTCATCCTCAGCGGCCGAGATGATGAGGCGCAAAATATGCCCAGGCTCAGTCGAAACTAAACTGCCTGCCAGCCATCCAGCCATCCAGCCATACAGACTTCCAACTTGCCAGCCAGCCAGTCAGACTCTCTGTCTGTCTGTCTGTTTGACTCACACAAAAAAAGAAATTAAAATAAAGCATGGAAAAAGACATGGCTTTAAGGGTCGCCTTTGTGGACACTCTTGCAAAACATTGCTCAAGTACCGCCCTAATTTCTTCCTAAATCAACATTCTCTTGAGATTGTTTTCGTACTAGAAGAAGTTCCATATTCTATCTACCATCTCACTCTATAGAACAATACATACTCTTATTTTGAAGTAATCTTTTCTCAGCGGCTCACATGGCATGGCCATGCCTTCCTGGAAGCCTCGAATATCACTCGATAGACTCTCTATAGGCTAACCCTTTTCTCCTTTAAGTGGCATGCTTCTGCTCCTAGTCAGAGTACCCTCTGAAAGGGAGGGTATTCGGCTACACAGCAAACAGACAAATGAGGACGGCGGCGGTGACATGATAGCCTGTGAACGCTGCTGTCTGCCGCCCGTCCTGTCTGCGCGTTGGTCTGCGCCGGCTTCGCTGCTGGCGTCGCGGCGCGTCGCTGGGGCTGCGGATGTGGCAGACGCTTTCCACGCTCGCCGACTGCTGCTGCATGCGTTGCACTTGCCACTGCCACAGCTCCTGCTGCTGCTGCTTGCTCGCAGCTCCTCTGTTATTCTGCTGCTCTGCTATATTTAAATACGCTGCGGGTTGCAATGAGCACGGTGCACGGTGTACGGTGCACGGTGCATGAGGCAAGCTGTGTGGCACTTCATTTGCTTCACAACTCATTCATGTTTTGTGCCACGGCATAGGCTGTGTATAGAAGAGAGCCAGACTGGCTGATAGAGCCCTAAGCTGAGGTAAACACTCTCTGCTCTGCTCTGCTCTGCCTGCCTCTTCTC